TGGAGAAGAGGTCTCTGATGGAGGGGAGCGACAGGCTTCTTGGTGGCTGGCGTGGAGAGGGGACAAGGAGTTATTATACGTGGCCAGGGCCAGGCTCTGGTGCTCTTGTCCATATGAGTGGTGAATGTACTGAGGCGAGCCCACCGCGCCCCCGGCATAACCCTGGTGGTGGTGGTGATGCTGGACCATGGGAGATGAGAGGTTTCCAGAGTAAACAGCGGGAGCGCACGAGGGGTACCCACCACTTACTTCTGCTTCCTGATTTAACGCGTAGGGGCTGTAAGGCGCGCCGAAGTTCTGCGCGCCGTAGCTTGGACCACAACTCGAGTGGGAGTAGGACACTCCCAGGTTCCCAGAAGTCTGATAGGTGGTCGGCTGGGGGTGGTGATGGTGGTGGTGGTGGTGGGGCGGGCTGATCTGCACACCCCTGCCCACTAGGAAGTGGTCGTCGCTGCCACAGCTGTTGGCACTGACCGCGCACGACTGGAAAGTTGTAATTCCGTGGTCGGAGGGGTAGGCTCGCGCTGAGCAGGTCCCCGAGTCGCCACCGCTGAGGATGGGGTATTCCAGGAAGGAGCTCATTCTTGCATTGTCCATCTGTCACTGAGTGACCGGGTCCTGCGAAGTCCTGGGTGACCGTGCCAACTTTCTCACTTCCTCCATGGGGCCCGAGAAGAAAAATGATATGAATGTACAGTGCGCAAGAGGGGGGGCGGGAGGGCGGAGGGCGCTACGGGAGGGGCACGTGATTCTATCAGCCAATGGCGGAGCCTCCTGAGAAAGTTTGTTGGCTCCTGCGGTGATGGATCACCGTTTCAGTGGCATTTAAATCCCCGGCGCTCCTCAGTCTAGGTGACGCGCAGTCGCCCCCCCAGGCAGCCTGGGCGGCAGCAGCAGCTGCGGCGGCCGCAGGGGCAGAAGCGGAGCGCTAAGGCGAAGGGGAGCAGAGGCCGCTTTCTGCGCGCGCCGACTCCGATCGCCCTCCCCCCTCCGGGAGGTGGGGGCTGGAAGGCATCCCCCGTCACCGCCCCCCTCCCCACCGCGCACAAAAGATGAATTGGCAAAAGGTGAGAAGCACGGAGGCTCCGCGATCTCTCGGGCTGGGAATCTGTGGGGAGGAGGAGCTCGCTGGGCCGCCACTAGCACACTGGCCGAGCCCGGAAAGCCAGGAACTGAAAGGGTCGCTCTCCGGGCTCTTTCCCTTACGTCCCTTCTGTGGTGTCTTGAGGAGGGCCGAGAACGGTGGCGTAGGACGCGGTTAGGACACCAGGTCTCTAAAGTCGGGATGGAGAGGGAAGTACGCAGAGGGCTGGCTGGGAGGAACCCGAGTGGGCGTGGAGGGTACGAGGGCAAGAAAGGAAACTTCCCTTCCTCAAGGAGGGTCCTGAAGCCTCCTTTCCTCACCCCCCCCCCCCCCTTCCCCATCCTCCCCACCCTCTGGCTATTAGTGTGGCAACCGGGAGCTTCTGTAATTCGACGCCCGGGAGAGGGGGTCCGAGCCTTGGGAGCTAGGCTTGCTGGCCAAGGCTGGGGGTGGCCTGGCTCTTCACCCTCCCTCTCTCCTCGCTCTCCGCCCCTTTCTCCTCCCCATTCAGCTTTGCTCTGGGAGCCCTACGGGATCCGGAGTAACTACGCGGCTGGATTTTGAGGGGTAGGAGGAGGGGGGAGAGAGATGACGATAGCGGACGTGGCCAGCGTGGGGGCCGGGCCCTGCGCTGCAGGCCATCTGCCGGCTCTCTAAGAACCAGGAGCCTGCAGGCTCCCACCCGGGCCTCAAAGGGTTAGACCACAGCTCCGGCGAAGTACGACGAACTCTTCCTTCCCACCCCCACCCACCCCCGCAAGGTTTCTTGTTTTCTGGAGGGGGTCGTTAGAAGTGGTAGAGCCTCTTTTATCCACACCCCCCCCCTCATTCTACTGCACAGCTTATGTGGGGGTGTGAGCTGGCAGGTGGGAGGGGCGGGGGACAGATGGCTGATGGTGGACGGGACATTCTCTTCTTCCCCAGCAACACCTCCTCCCTTTTGTAACTGACTGTGTAGTTCCTTCTGTAAACCTGCAAGTCTACCCCTAGAGAGGCACTTGCAAATCCGAGCGTCATCCCAGGACAGCGTTCCTGTTCTCTATCACTTTCCTCTTAGCCGGATGCCCACGGGGTCGTTAATTGCTCTTTACTATTAGGCCTCGTGTCAGCCTTTGGCTTGTAGAGAGAAAAGGCCAAACAGAGGCCAAGAATTGATGCATTCTTAGGTAAAAGAAGTCCAGACATCATACAAGAATTTTGCAGCCAATGCGGTATAGATTTTACTCTGACCATGTTCACCACATGGGGATCCAACGGATCAAATTTATCTGATGATTGTGTGTGGCTTTGGGGTTCCCACTTCCCTCCAGCTTTCCCTCCCCGGGTAAAAGAAGGAAGTTTTGCTTGAGGTAGGCACATTTCAGAGGTGTTAGCCTTTCAGGTTTATGTGTTCTGTTCTCCACCTATACCAGTTCCATACTAACCTGTCCCCAAGAGGGAAAACGGACAGACGTTTGACTGTGGATTCCCTCAGAAGCAAAGGCGCATTTCCCCCTACACATTTCCTTTTGAAAGGTATTTTCCTGTGACCTGTGACCTATCCCCAATCATAGTTGAGAGGGGGGCGGAAAGGTCACTCCTGCCCCCCAATTTCAGCACCTGGAGAACCTCACCCTGGAGAAGGGAAAAGGCAAGGAGGCCCTCCTGGAGGTGGCTTCCTTGGGAGTGCCAGGCGTCCAGCCAGGGGGAGAGAAGGGGCTCTTGCGGGGGAGGAGACAGGACTTTAGGGGTCCCGGCTGGCTTTGCGGACGACCTGCTCCTCGAGCCTAAGCTCGTCGTAGGTTCTGGCCCTTGTCTCACTCCGGTCCCTTTGTTGGCTTTCTCGGCCCTGGTCTGCACGGCCCCCTCCGCCGCAGGCTCGCACCACAGAGCCACCCCAGTCTGCAACCGCTCTCCTTCCTCTGCTAGTTCTGGGCCTCTGAGCTCCTCTCCCTCCACCTCTCTTCCTCCCTCCGGGCTTCTTTTCCCGGCCTTCGTGGGTGGAATGTTTTTCTTGGGATCACACATAAGCTTGCGCTCGCGCTTAAGGCCGCTGCACAGCGGCGGGCGACCGACCCGCCTCCGCGCACCGCTCCCGGCAGGCAGGCTCCCGCGGCCGAGCCGACTCCGCCCAGGCTGGTCGCCCAGAGCGCCGCTCTCCCCGTGCGGCTCACAAAGGCAGCCTCCTCTGGCCTCGAGCCCGGGGGCTTCCGTAGCGCGGTTCCTTCCCCACCCCCACGAAATCCCAGGGCTCATTCCGCCGGGTAGGAGACCCGAGGTCCGTGGGGGCAAGTAGGCCAGCGCCCCGCGACTCGAGCCAAAATCTCTTAAACCGCCCGTGAAGACTGGATGAAAGGCGAGCCCGGTCACTTGCAAGCCGCTTGTTGGGCTCAAAGCGCCTCTTTCATGGCTCTACTAGAAAGGGAAGGAGCAAGGAAGAGACAAAACGCCGCCGAGGCCCGGAGCTGTTCATGGCACCCGCAGCTCAGCCAAGCTGCTGTTGTTTTAAAAGAGCAATAAAAATGAATTATGACTAAACGCCTTCTAACTTAATGCTTTCGGACGGGGATCCCCGGCAAATACGTAAGAGGATTTTTATTTGTGCATGTGTTCCTGCAATTGATCTCTTTGATGACATTCTCATTCATAGAAAGCGTTTGATTTATGAGTGGAGGATGAATCGCAAACAGCAGCGGCTTAGCCCTGGCCGCGGCCCGGCCGCTTGCTCCGTTCTGCGCCGCGCCGCGCTGCGCCGAGTGCAGGAGACCTGCCCGGGTCCTCACTCGCCTCCGCCGCTGCCAGGATTTAGGGGGCAAAAGGGTGGGGGAGGTAGGCAGTAAACCCGTGGAGAAAGATCGCGATTTCCTCATAACTTCCAATCCTTTGCTATTAAGAGCCGGGTTCTTAAATCAACCCACCCCCCACACATGTTGCTTACACTCTGCGTTTTCTCACGGTAAGTAGCCATCAGAACAGAGCTCAGTAAGGGAAAAATAAACATGGGGAGACATAAGAAGGGAGGGGAAAAAAAAAAACAGAACAACCCAGCAACATCCCTAGATCACATTTTATTGATATTTCATTTAAAGTGCTTTTTCTCTTTCTCTATAAACTGGGTTAATCTATAACCTGGGGTGTAGAAACACTCCACTTTAAATCTCATCTTGCTAACCTGACTTCAAAGCTTTAATGATCCATTATTTGCCATGTAAACAGATTTAAGAATGAAATATTGATTTTTCTGACCCTGGGTGGGGGGAAGAATCCTAGAATGACTGAAGCAGAGGATTGGAAAGAACCCTTTCTGAAGTGCTTTTTCCAGCTAGTAACCATTGTTTTGTTTTATTTTTGTTTTTCTGTTTTAGACCTGTTTGCCTGGACCCATCAACAGCTGGGAGACTATAATCAACCACACTGAAAATGTTTGGGGATTTGTGGGGGAGGGGGTTGGAATGTAGATATTTGAAACAAACATGTATAAATAAATGAATTGTTGTATACTTAGTTATTGACCTGGAGACTGGTAGCTTGTTAAAGAAACTCCATGTTCCTCCTTCCTGGAGTTGGAGGTTTCTGTAGGCACTTTATTTCTCCACTTTCAAAAGCTTGGGCTTGGCCCAACTCTGAGGTTGCCCAATCCTGTTTCTATTACCAATTTAAATCTATGGCTTGAACCTCTACGTTGAAAACCTAATCCATTCCCTTAAAAAAAAAACAAAAAACAAAACACACTTCTCAGAAGCCCTAACCCTTTTCTGGCTTTCCTTTTTGTTGATGTTTCTATTGAAGACTTTGAACATGCCCATTCAATAAATATATTAAAATTGGAAAAGAAAGTGGATTGTGACCAGAATTTTATTTACCAAGTTAGACTAAAAGAGGAAAAAGAAACTGTTATGAGCCTTGAGAAAGAGGGGGAGGAAAAAAATAAGAAAGCTACTTATAGCAAAGGAGAATTTATTCTACCAAAAATACGCATGACAATGCACCCTAACGTAATACAAAAATAAAAAGAAAGTGAAGATACAATTATATATGATCACTTTCTTGCAGGCCTCATATATTGCTTTCAGGAAATCACATAGAGGGTTGTTGGATTAGATTTAAAACAACTAAAACTCCAAAATAGTCTGGAGAAAAGATGACTCTGAAACTGGGTCAAGGGAATCACTAAACAGAAAAATCTTCCAACATTTAAAAGAGGGAGAGGGTAAGTCAAGAAGAAAATAAAATAAAAATTAGAATAAAGGAAAGCAAAACCACCTGGTCAAAGGGGTTTTTTTTTTTTGTGTGATGCTTTGTTTTGCTTTAATGTTTTTAGTAATTCAGATGCTGCAAGTCGATTGTGGTGAGTGTGTCTGTAAAAAAGTCAAAGCTGTCAGCTGAAATATCTACTGGACTGTCGAGGGAACCCGGCAAACTGGGCGAGACTGCATCTGAAAGCTGCAGGCAGGAATCTGTGGAAAAAACGTTAAAGTCCTGCAAAGAGGGGACCTCGAGGGCCTCGGGACTGTCATTGTTTAGGCCAGAGCCACAGTTCTGGCCCATTGTTGACAAGCAGTTAGGAACAGTGGGTGACTGGTGCTGAAAATGTTTCAGATTTTTCTCATTGCTGGTTAAAGGCGAAACTGGGAAACTTTGGGAGTCACCATTGTGTCCATTGGAAGCCTGCTGCTGAGAGAGGGCATTTTGCTGAAAAGTGTAACCTTCCCTCTCCAGAAGGGCCCCCGAGACGCTGAGGGCTTGCTCAAAGAGCGACTTCTCTTCCTCATCCTCGTCCACTTTCTCAGAGTCTTCCAGGCTTTTAAATTTTCCTTCGCTGTTTTGGTTCTCCTTGCACTGGGTTTGCCTCTTGTGCTTCATCCTCCGGTTCTGAAACCACACTTTCACTTGTCTCTCAGTCAAGTCCAGCAGCGCCGCAATTTCCACCCTTCGGGGTCTGCAAAGGTACTTGTTGAAATGAAATTCTTTTTCCAGCTCTAAAAGCTGCGTGTTGGTGTAAGCAGTTCTCAGGCGCCGAGAGCCCCCGCCGCTGCCATCGGCGATTTCCAGGGATTCTGAGGAAAGGGAAACCAACAAGAGACACACGCACAGTTGGAGGTGGAGGGGTCCGAGCGGGGTTATTCCACTGGAGAATAAATATAGCAGAAAAGATCAACTGCAACAAAATGGCCGCCCCTGGATGCAGTAAAGCTATTGTGCTGCCCTTCCTGGGAGCCTAGCCTGGGGAGACCCCATCTCTTCCACCTCCATCAGATTCCTGCCTGTAGCTCCCCCCAACCTCTCCATCCGGGAGCAAACTTTATATTAGCCACACCACAATTTATAATTAATGCATCAGCTGCTTAGCTGAGCAAGAGCGATCTATCACTCTTCATTACTGTCAAAAAGCCAAACTCTAGGACAACTAGACAAGAGGAGGTCAGTTCCAACTCAAATAAATCATCCCACATTACACAAGTTAGGGAAAGTTCCCCCACCCCCTTCTTAAAAATATATGTATGTCTCATTGTGGATCTCTTGTCTCCACATCAAACCCACTCCTGAGCCCACAGGGGAAGGGAAAGCAGCCAAGCATCTCTCCCTCTCCCCCTTCTCTCCCAACCCACTCTCCCTTCCCCCATAACCGCTCTCGGGGCAGCCCAGAAGGTGAAGAGGGTCCCAGGACCTGGGGCCAGGTCTTTGGACTGACCTTTGTGGCTGAGGCAGGCAGGGCCGGTGGCGGCGGCGGCCGAGGCAGGCGGCAGCACGGTTTTCTTGGCCGCCTTCTTCTCCTTCATCCAGGGGTACTCGGGCGGCTGCAGGGCGCCGGCGGGCACTGGGCTGCCGCGGCTGCCCGCGGGGCTCGGCTTGGGGCGGCCGCCAGCGCCGTGGCGAGGGTGACTGCCCGGGTTCAGGCTGGGAATGGTCTGCTCAAAAGGAGGAGGAATCAGTGTCGAGTGTGAAAGCGTCGAGGTCTTGATTGATGAACTTTGAAATGTATCAGCGACAGGGGGAAAAGATGTCAGGCACTCAGCGAGCGACGGCTGGCTATTGATAAAACCAATCTCTCGCTCAAATTCGTAATTCATGGCCTTCTCCTTGGAGCCCCCTCGGAGAAAAAGTTCCCTCTTCTGGAGGGGTTTGGGGGGGCAAGGCCCAGGAAAAAGGCGAGCGCGGAGGGGAAAAAAAAAATCTATCATAGAAGATCGCTGCTGGGGTGTTTTTTTTCTAATTCACTGATTACAGCCGTATGGGGACCGCGCTACTATTAAACTATTGAATTCATGGAGACAAGGTTGAAATTGGACCGAATTGGCTGTCACATGATTGCTTCTGCCCAATGACAATTTGGGCTTTAATCAAAAGAAGCCACTGTCTGTTTGATTGATCCAAAAAAGTCGGGAAGGAACGCCTCATTGGGGGCCAGCGAGGCTTTATTTACACTTTTTTCAGGGCAAAAATACATATATGTGGGTGTGGGTTGGGGATGCGTGGCAATGCGTGAGGGCGAGGGTGCCTGCCTGCCTCCTGATCCACACGGAGGTGGTGTGTGCGCCTGGGAGTGTGTGTGAGTGTGTGAGTGCGTGCGAGTGCTTAGCCCTGCTGCCGGTCCCGCCGGCGGCCGCCCTCTGCCTCCCCCGCACACTCCGCGCATTGTTTGGGACGTCGGGAAGACGCCTCGCACCTCACAAATCATTTAAGCACCTCAGTCTGATGCCTGCAGTCATTAACAAAGTAATCCATTAATCTTCAAAGTTTTGACACCCGAGGGCCACGCATCCCAGCCACATAAGTTCTGCTAAAGCAGGAAGAAGAAGCAGAGGGAGAGGGGAGATGAGACAGAGTAAGGGGTCGGGGACAGAAAAAGGATTATTTAGGGGGCTCCCCCTTTTTATTTCCCTTTTCCTCCTCCGCTTTTTCTAAAACCAGTTTCTGGATCTCAGAACTGATCTGCCTCTGATTTCCTTCCCGTCTTTCCCTCTTTTCCTCTTTTTTCCCTCTTCTTCTGTCTTCCTCCTCCCTCTCCCCTCTGTTCACCTCTCCTCCCCCCACTTCCCTCCGGCCCTCACCCCCCCTCCCAAAGCCCAGCTCTGAGTCCGCGCCCCCCGGACCCCGGACCGGGGTCCATTGTTAGCCGGCTTTTCCACGACAGCTTCGCATCTGGCTCCAGCGGAAAGCGGAAAACGGGAGGCGGCTCTCCAGGCTTCCCGACCCTCCTGCGCCATCAACTTTTCAGGAGTGGCTCGAGAAAGATAGAGGCATGTGCCAAGCGAGACAACCCCAGATCCATGTGCCCAAATCCCTGTAGCCAGGGCGGCGGCCAGCCAAAGAAATGCCGCCCCGAGCAGGCGCGTGCGGCTCCTGGCATTCTGGGTTTCATACCCGTAGGGCTCGGGTGCGGTAAGTATTTCTGATTTCCAGGAAGTCTGTTGGAAGTTAGCAGCACGGAGGGAGAAGGCGCTTGCTTGTTCTTTCTTTTTCTTCTCCTTCCCTTCTTCTCATCCTTGTCGCTCTGATGGGGCTTGTTGATTCAGATGCAGTGAGTGCTCCTTGGCAGCCAGAATCGTCTCCTGAACTGTCCCGCTTCTTGGCCACCAGGGATGTTTGCACTCGGGGTCTGCTGTGGGAAACAGCACCGCGGGTGAAAAAGGGCGACCCAAGGAGGAATTATAAAGGTTCTGTTTCTCTGTTCACTCCTTTTTTCCAACTCGGAGACTTGAAACTGAGCGCATCTTGGACTGTGCTGGAGGGTTCAAAAGATAACACCTTTAGATACCAAACAATAACTCTGCAAAAATCCACCAAGCCAGAAAAAGGGAAGGAGGCTGAGAGAGCAATCTGAAGGTATCTCTTTTCCCCCACACCGAGGATGATGATTCGCTTTTGCTTCCTTTGAAATGGACCAAGTGATCAGACTCCCCCTGGCCGGCAGGCATCGGTGGCAGGAAAATAGATCATTCTGATGGCCAGGGAGAGAAAGATTGTTGGGGGAGAAAAATTTACGTAGAAAACAAGAAAGGCTGAGCAAGTCACAAGGACAGGACTCCATCTCTGAGGCTGGCATCAAAGGGGCTTGGGTTGGAAATTAGAAAGTGGCCTCCATCATTGACTAGCCCAGAGCAATGCCTTACAGATAGAGATGCTATTTTGGAAAATGTGAGGTTTTTTCAGTTTTCTTGCTTTTATTCCAAACAAAGCTCTGAAGGAAGTCTGGGTGCGATCAATCTTGCTCACCAAAAGCCTTGACAGCTTCTGGCCCTTAAGAACACATTTCAGCTTCGAGCTCTTTCCAAGATCAAATGTGGTCGAGCAAAGAGGAGAGCAGGAAACCAAGGAAACAAGGAAAACTAGTCTCTTTAAAGATATTTTTGGCAGCAGAGTTCGAGGGCTGCTTTTAGGAAAGGTGCTTTGCGGACTCTGGGATGGTGGCTTTTGGCATTTGCTTTTACCAGAAAATATTGAGGGGTTAAGGGGAGGAGGAGTGCGGAAAGGAAGCAACGCTGCCCCCATATCGCTGAGGCTTTGTCAGGGGCTGCGTGGGTGAGAGCTTTCTGCTCGCCTCAGCGGCCTTAATTCAAATACCATCTGGAAGGACCCCCCCCCCCCTTTTTAAACCACTCAACACTGAAATCTTCCCCAAATCTATTACTTTAACTCAGGAGATATTTTAATACAGATTTCTGTTTAATATCTAGAAAATGGAGGTTGAGATTGATATTTTTTCTCTGAAAGTCAAAATGAACATCTTGACTGGCAAGATAAGGGAAATCATATTGGAATCTCACTTTAAAAATCTGCCCTGAGGGAAGGTGGATGTCTCCAAGCCAGTTCTTCCTCAGCTAAAGGGCAGATTTTAGAAACTACAAATAGTGGTATCCCTGAAAGATTTTTTTTCTCTCTGGATGGGTAGCTTTCTCTCTCTCTGCCTTCTCTTTCTCCCCTCCCCCTACTCCCCTGTATTCTCCCAGGTAATTTTACACACTCCTCTAAAATTATTACTTAACAGAAGCCTCCCTTGTCTGCTCAGCCTACTGTGTTCATATCTGAACAAGCAAAAGGGTGAAAGCTCCAGTCCTCACTGGAGAAAACACTGGTTTTCCAACTCTGCATTTCTGGGTTGCACCATATTTCAGCAGGGATGTTGGAGTGGGGTAGAGAGTAAAATCTACTTCTACATCCTAAACTCTTTTGAAAAGAAAAAAAAAAAATGTAGCAGGAGCTCCAGGACAGATTTAGGGGAAGCACCTCTAGCAGTGAAACACCCAGCTCTTTACAGCTGCCTGACTTTGCATCTTCCCAGTCTTTTTCTTTTCTTTGAGACTTCAGGAGGTTCCCTAAAAGCAGCTCCTCCAGGCCCAGTAGGTACCCCTAAAATGGCTCCATCGCCTGTTTTGAAAGCTCATCTTCCGGAGTTTCTCAGGGGAAAGATAGAGGCCATGATGATGTATATTTTGGATTGCAAACAAAATGGCGACATTTCCCATCTCTGCCTCTGAAAGATACAATCCGGGGAGATGGGGATACATTTCTCACATCAGATGCTCCTGATACCAGACACAGGTGGTTCCTCACTTTCTGCTTTGGAGGGGGGGGGGAGCTGCTGATGGGGATGCAGTTCCGAGGTTTGCACTTTCTGATTTTGGTTTCTTCTCTGAGCAATTCTTTAATCTGAAGATGAAAATATATTCCTTTCCTGTGCCTGCCTTTGCCTCTGCCAGCCAGTCAGTAGGCAGCCCTCTCTTAAATCCAGCGGTAGAAATATAATGTTTAGCTCCTGTAGCATCAAATAAAAGAAGTACTTGTAAAACTGCATTTTTATTAGAAAGATACCAATCTCCTCTCTCTCCCCCTCCCCCTGGGCCATAAAAGGAAAGCAGGGAGGGAAGGAGAGGAAATAAATCCAGAGAATGCCAAATCCTATATTCCGGGAAGAAGCCAATGCTAAGACTCAAACAGTCTATGGAAGGACTTGAGCAGGCTCCTCGGAGTTCAGCCGTTCTTTTGCTGGAGTCGTGGGTCTCTTCCGAACCGCCCCACTCCCAGGGGCGATTTTAGCTGTGATTCCTGTGGTTCCTCTTGGCGTGGTAAGGAACAGCGAAGCATCCGCGGAGCGTTCGGTTGCTCCTAGAAAATGCATCCTCAGCGCGGCCGGCGATTCCCTGTGTTAAGGCGTTGCCTGGTCCGCTTTGATCCAAAAAAGACAGTGGAGAAGACAGCCCTACCTTACTCCCTGGCGGGGCTGCCGGGTCACCTGTGCGCTCCCCGCCGCGTCTCAGCCGGGCCGCCTTTGTTCCTTCGGCACTCAGCACTCCGCCGCCGCCCCTGCGCCAGAGGCTGGCCACGGTGGCAGCTGGGAACCGGGCAGCCCAGCGAGCTGCCAACTCGGCGCTTCCAGAACGGCCGCCGCCAGAAGCTCCGGCTGCCTTTCCCGAGAATTCGCCGCGCTCCCGGGCGAGCGGCCTGGCCAGGCCTCACGCTGGAGCTGGAGGGCTGCCGCGGCCTGCTCCGCCAATTCGCCTCCGCCTGGACTCCATGCAGACCCTTCTCTTCGGCCAAAGAATCTCTTTTGAACACGGATATTATTCAGAATAAAAACTTTATTTTTTTTTTTTGTTTTGTTTCTCAGAATGTGAGCAGCAAGGAATGTATAACTCTCAAAACAAATCTAGCATTTTTCGCGTTTACAGATTTTTTTTCCCAGTTTCGCCGGATGTTACAAACCTAAATCACTGTTTTCAAAAGCTGGATCCTCTCTGGTATTATTGCATCATTACCATCTTTATAAAGGAATTATATTTCCCTTTCGAATAAAATTTTTTTTTCTGTGTATGCCAATACACCATTGAACAAAAGGCCCAAGAAACCTTCTGAACAATCAGGGTACAGAATTTCTTTAATATAAATACAGACGGATGGGGATAAATAATATTTAAAACTTAGATTATTCAATGCTTGCAAAAAAAATATAAATAAATCTGACTTCACCAGCATACACACACGGAAAGACGTACACTTAGTCATCCTTGTACAGGGAGCCCCTGTCTCAAAGCGCCTTTGATTTTTTTCTCGCTCTTTACAAGAAGTGCAATAAAAAAAAAAACTAAAAATTAAAAGTAATTGCTTCCCCTCGGGAGCCATAATGTACGAACAAATTCACATTGAACAACTTGGCTAGAAAATTTGTTCATATACCCTGTTTCTGATCAAAGAATAGAGAAGGTAAAGGGTGCAAGGCCAGCGGCCCAGCGAGGGGCGGGAGCAGATACATATCACTACTGATACCGACAGCCATTCCAGCAACCAAGATTGCTACGTCACATAAACCATAAAAACGTGTTAACAAAGAAAACAAAACGGGTGGGGGGAGAGCGGGGGCGGGTGGAGAAGAGAG